ATATATATATATAGAAATAAAAAACATAATTTGTATTTACATGTAATAAAAATGTTTTTTTATTCAAATTGTTTAATAACATTTTAATATGTATAATACTAAATATAATATTTAATAATAAAAATTATATTTTATATATAATATAATAATATGGATACACACACAAATACAACACATTTTTGAATATATAAGAAAAACTCATTTAGGGCACATATAAGTGTGTGTGTATGTGTGTGTGTTACAGTATGTAGAATTTTATTTTGTGTGAATGAAAATATTTGTTTTGTTGTTTCCTTAATTTCAATGATGTTTGCAAGTGTCTGACAAACGTGTGGGAAAATGTTTGGAATACATTTTCATTCCATGAATGTTTGTTCCTAGACTATGTTACAGTGTGATTACATGAGTAATGTGGAATTTCTTGCTCAATAGCAAATATGTACTTGGGCATTTGTCTTTCGTGGAATGTTTTAACTAATTATTACTATTCCCATTAGAAAAAAACCCTGGAAATTTCATATTAAAATTGGCATTTCTGATTTCGGATATAGTATATATAATATATGTGTGAGCTTTTGTCCAAGACATGCTGCATCATCACTCATACAAAAAAGCAGCCTGTAAATGAAACTGATGCAACCTTAGTAGGCAAATCTATTACCCTGTTATCTATGGGTGCCAAGTCAGCAGTATTACATGTTTATAGTATACAGGTAAAATCACTGTTATTCCTTTTATTTTACAGGCCACGATTTTGCATTTTACAGAAGAAAGGAGAGGATAACTGAACCGAAGGACAGTGGAAAGACATGCATGAAGACGATCATTTGGTTTAACACCACACTAGGTAGAGCTAGAGACTTCACCATTAGCAGTTGCCTTCAGCCAAACTGCATACGGCACACTGCCAGTCTCCTTGCCATCCCGCCAGTTCCCAGCATGCACTGACTTAAAAACTTGCCAATCCTACCGAGAAGCTCCTTCCGGAAAGCCGGCGACCTCGGGTTTCTATTTGTTTTGTGCTGTAACCTACTGTTGTTATAGTTTCTATGTTCACTTTCCTTTTAATTGGTGAGCGTCTGTGTGTGGCTGTGGTTTGTTGTGGTGAGATTGCATTGATTGCGAGTATGTGCTCAGTGTGCAAGTGTCAGGGTGCAGCAGGCTGAAGGTAATTGAGGCCTTTTCTAAGAACTCCCCCTCCCAGTCCTGCGCTAGTCTCTCCCTGGAAGTAATGCGCTCATTCTGCGAAACAGCTGGCCCATTGCCGCTAGCTCGCTTGCTCAGCTAACCCACAACGACAGACCGACATGCTCCGCTACCGCAGTGTGTACAAGTATACACCAATTCTGTCTGTTCTAGTCTGCTAATGAGTGAAACAGAATTTTACACACACTGCCTCTTTTCTCTGTTTCTGTAATGTGTATTAGAACACAGTCTAATAAATAAGTAAATAAAATGTATTTATTTATTGTTCTTGTAGACATGCAATGCTATAATAAAAATATTTTGAATACCTTTGTTTTGTTTCTAAATTAATATTTGCATCTATAGCAACAGTTTAGACTGAAATCTTATTGATTAGATAATTAAATAAGAACCTTTTCCAGAGCAACTGTTAAAATAGATCTCATTGATTAACTTTTAATACTATTTCACATATATTTTTTGCATATAAAAGTGATTTACATATTTACGTCACCAGCAAATTTATGTAAGCTTGCACAGCACTGAGATCGACTTTCAGAAAAAGCTCAGCCTCGGGTTTCTGGGAAATTCTAATCACAGTGCACAGTAAGAATGATTCACTATGAGGAAAATAGGATGAAGAAACACTTTCTATGTTCCTGTATACATCTTTCATTTTTCATTATTAATATTCTGTTGTGCTTGTTCATCCCACAGCTTTCTTTTCAATACATTCATTTCAGCACACATAAAAAAAAGGAGGCATTTAAAATCGCTAAAGCTTGATGGTACAATATATTGATTTAAATATTTCTTAATGGCTTATTTCTAAAATGCAAATGTAAAATATTTTTTAAATCCCTTGTTAAATCTATAAATTAAAACATCAAAGATTATAGGAGTTTCAAATTGCAAAAAAAAAAGAAAGTGCTACAACATTTTAAAATAATTTAGCAATTCTTATATTCACTAAATAGAAAGTATATTTAAAATCCCATTTTGTTATTAAATATCCCTTTTCAATTAACAGTGATCTTCCTGGACATCAGCTGTAAAACAATTATGGCCCATGCTCAGAATAATCTTGTATAACACACATTTTGTCCTGAGATGATTAACTAAATTGCAAAGCAATTTCACGCACATTTGTTTGTCTAATAATCCTATTATTCTGAGATTACAATTTTGAATGACCTTGTTTGATAGTCTTACTGGAAGGCCAGTACGTAAAAGAGATTGTTTGATTCTCTGCAGCACTTCTGCATTCTGGATGTTTCATTCTACGAAAAAAAAGGTTTTCTTTTTATATTTACTCAGCATCTGCCCTCATCATTTTTTCCCATGAATGCATTTTACATAATTACACTCTTCAGTAAATAATTCTTAGAATTATTCTCAGAAATGGCAAAATACACCAATTTAATGATAAAATACTGAATAAAACATTATGACTTCAAGTAAATTTGATTGTCACTTTTATTACAAAATGAAGGATTGTTCATCCATAAATACATACAAACTCCACATTGTGGGCATAAAACAAAATATGTAAATCTCGATTAAAATAGTCAAAAAAACAAAAACATTTCACTGCATTTCACTTTCGAAGAAAGAAACAATTCCAGTCAAGGCAGCGCAGTGACCAAGCTCGCCTTTATAGAGTGCTGAAGACCAAGCTACATGTGTGCTTCTCGTGAGCTCAGAGTTTCAGACAAGCTGCGTGTTCTCATTTCGAACCGTTCCTAAAGGGGTCACGTGACCTGTACAAAAGTTTCATGAACATTAAATTCATCTCAGACCCCAAGCCTGTGGTTTAACCTCTCACACTTTTAACAGTATGACACAAAGGTTGAGTCACTTGCTTCTTCATGAGTCAATTTCTGGACATGGCTTGACTCGGTCCCACTTGGGTATATCTATCTATCGATGAAGATAGACTTGCTGACCATCAAAAACTTGCTCCAGAAACAAGAGTCACTCTTCAAGTGGTTAACACTGGTTTTTGAACCAAACTTCTGATTGGGGCTGTGCATTTAACTTGCCGCCTTCAAAACATCCAGCTCGTGATTGGCCGTGGTGTGCATTTCCATGGCGATGTCAGAGCTGGAAAGGGTAATCCTGAAGATACTGCAGTAATGGTCTCGGTAGAGGCAGGCTCTCTGTGCAAGTGGTGCATTTGTTGATTACCAGGCGAGTGAGATGTTGCAAAGAAGGAAAGGCTTGAGGACGATGCATCGGCCGTTTGAGTTTTAGCAACACCGCACATTCCTTGGGGGCCGGCGAAGTTACGTGATCCGACTCCTCAGTCTTTTCCTCCTCCCCTTTGTTCCTGGAGCCCACGTAGTGCTGCACGAGGCTGGGGACGTCTGGGAAGGACTGCAGGCGTGATCTGGCCGGGGAACTGGAGTCCAGACGGAAACGTCCAAGACTGTACTCGATGCGAACGTTCGTGGGCCCGCGACCAGTTTTAACAGACAGTGTCAACATATAGAGAGGGTGGCTGCTGTCCCGTATCAGGAAAGTACCCTCCGAGGCCCCCTGTAGGACAGAGTGGGCCTCACTGGCAGAGATGGCACCCCAGTACCAACCTGGAAAAAATTGGATTATTAATACGAGTTGTTATTGGAGACTTTATATGAAAAATAGGGATGAAAATTGAAGTTAAAAAAAAAAATCCCAAGAGGTCATTCTACAAAAACAGGTGCCTTTAGAGGCCTTTAAAAATTGTCCATTTTTTAGCATGCCCCCACCCCGGTTTCCAAATTCTCGTGCATTTTAGTTAAAAAAAAAGAAATTAAGCAAAAAAGTACCTTACTGAAAGAAACATATTCTATCCCTACATAAAAAGTAATAATTTACCTTTTAATTATAGCTTAACAATTGATTAAACAATTTACTAAAAAACCATAAAGGAAAAGGCATGTTTTATAGAATGACCCTTGATTTATGGATTTGTAGATTTATGAATGAATGAATGAATGCATATATGAATCCTAACTGCCATTTTGTTATAACAATAATAGTTGTTGTTGTTATTATTATTATAGATGTAACATTTTAAATTTGTATTCTACCTGAGGCATCCAGATAGGAGAAATTATTGGCGATAGCTCTGAAATCTTTGCTAGGGTCCCATAAGGTAACGGTTGTATGGATGCAGCGAGGAGAGGAGAAAGTCACCACCGGAAACCTGACCATTGGATCGGCGGTATCTTGCAAATGAGCTGGCCTGGAAAAAAAAATTATGAAATCATTTTTAAGTATTTAAAAGGTTGCAATCATCTTAAAAAGAAAACTTATTAAAACATGATGGCATATGTGACTCTTTTTTTTGTCTTAGCAGTAGCACCAAACACTATCTGCTCAAATATGCACAGAAATACACATTTAGAAGATATTGCTTACTCAGCTTTTTCATTTAGTTAAACGTAATGTTAATTCTTAACCAGTTCACAGATGCATAATGAATAATTGTTTGTGAAAAAAGAAAGTGTTGTGTTTTTTCCCCTGTTACCTTATATGTTATTAATGCCACATATTATAGTTTATGTTAATACACATTAATATAAAGAAGATCAAGATCAATCATTAGGCTGGATTACTGCGGAAAGATTATAACCTGCCTGATGTGTTTCACTGTTCCAAAAAATATTTCTTAACGATAAACAAACTACATATTTATATTTACTTAAAAAAAATATTATTATTGTTATTATTAGTAGTAGTAATAATAATTTAGGAGTCCATTTGTCTTTCACACAATGCTTAGCTTCATCAACAAGAATGTGTGGTATTTCGTTAATGAACTATTAGATAGTAATGTTGTTATCGCTGTATTTTGTTGTAATAATTTAATAAATATGGGTCACTAAAACTCACCCTTGGACGCACAGAATCATTGTGAAGACGGCTGGTTTGATATCTGCCGGATTCCTTAAAGTTTCTTTGTTCCTGAGGTTTTTACTCGGACTTCCAAAAAGAATCTGGTCTTCTTGAGCGATGGCAAACACTCAGAGATATTTCTCGAGCATAGGAAGGTTGTCGAACAGCCTCAGGACTCTGTCGCCGACTGTCAAGTAAATAAGTGCGCGACTTGTCTGCGGTTTGTTTAACAAACTACGCGAGTAGATAACACGGACATGGTTCTCAAAAACGAGCGGTGTTTCTGTTTAGGTCGTGTCCTAAAACTGAACAAGAAGCGGAACACTGCAGGGTTTGGCTTGTTCACTTCGTCTGACTTCCCAGAATTGGTTTTCTGAGAATCCCCCCGTGTTTAGCGCCTCTGACGCCATCGGCAGCACAGCTCTGTGAAACCCACAGAGTCAATCCCCTCTTCTTTGTCATTCAAGCATACAGCAGTCTCGTGAGTAATGAACTAGCATTGGAATGGTCCTTGAATGACTCATTTGGGAGTTTTATTATGGTGATGGTCGGTAATTGCTTCCTGATGTTTGTGATTGACGTTCGAGGATGAAAACGGCGTTTCTCGTGAAACCGCGCGTCTAGCGTTCCAAGAACTTTCCAGGAAAACTGAGCGCCTGCCCTGCGTTAAGCCAATCAGGTCCCTCCCCTTCGTCGAGGCCCCGCCTCTCTGTAGCTGTCATCGAATTAACCATTTGTTTACTGCTGAAATCAGTTTCTGAATAAAGACAAATCCTCTTGGGACCCAGAAAAACTTTTCTCGTAAATTTTAAATTTAAACAATTGATTAGGTCCTTACATTGAAAGATTGTTGTATTTCGTGCACGTTATATGCATTTTGACGCTTTAATCATGCCTATACGTGTTATTTAGTGTTACTTACGGAGAGTTTATTCTAAACGCGTTTTTACTGCCATCTAGAGGCCATGAGGTGTATCCAACATACAGATTAGCAGGAATGCCCTTTTTGCTTCTGTGATTTTACCTTATACTTTATGAATATATCTTGATTTACCAACTAATAATGACCACCAAAGACTCTGTAGATTTTCATTTACTAATAATTCGTTTATTTTTATTAAGATCATGTTGTAAATGACCTGTCAACCTAGTCATTGACCAGCCAACCAAAAAAAAAAAAAAAAAAAAAACGGGAAGAAGATGAAAGAAAAGAAAGATCAATGGCAATGTCGTTCAGGAGAACCATAATACCCATAAATAAAATACATGAAACCAAGTAAAATGTGTTTTTGTTTTTATACAACTCTACACTTTATTTTATATATATATATATGTATATATATA